ATATGAGCGAAGACAGACAGTCGACGAATATGAAGTTGTCTTGCAGATACTATCAACGTTTCTAAAAGATTCATTCCTTCCTATCTTCTCTTCTTCCAGTAACACAGTCAATTGTCTATTCCGCGAGAAATTATACTTCCAATCTTGTAGCCAAATTCTGTTCTTCAACCCTAACCATAATAATCGAAAACCAACTTATCTGTAAATGACTGATAAAGTTTCTTCAATGAATCCAATTTTGGTTTTTCTGATTTCTGCAAGATAACAGAAATTTTCAGCACAATTAGAAGTGTTAGGTAGAAACAAAAAAGATTAAAAAAAAGAAGGAAGAAGTGGTGAAATAAAACACTGTACATTATAATAAACTTCAAAATATACGACAACAAAAATCACACTATTGTAGAAAACCGAAACAGTTATCAAGAAAAACGTTTTAGCAAAACATGAGAAAAAAAATGTGAAAATTAAATTAGCAATTTTATTTGAAAAAAAACTTTAATGTCATGACAAATGAGCTCATAGAAAGAGGAAAACTGTGGAACGGCGATACAAAATGATACAACACTGTATGGCTTCTGAAGTCGGATGCATTAAAAAAAAAAAAGGAAAAGTATAGAAAATTACAATTGTGAAGCAATTACAACTGCAATTACAATAAACGACTATTAGCAAGCGGCAATCTTTTAGCTAACCTGTATAAACTTTTTCAATTAAGTCTAACTTTAAAAGTGTAGCAAAAATTTTGGTCTTCTACAATAAAATTTATCTTTATGCTGATGAAAATATACTACTGTAATTTGTGCACTAATTAATGCTAAAAAAAGGTTCATAAAATTACTGATTTCAAGCATCGTTGTAAAAATTCATTTTATTTTCTTTCTACTAAACACCTATTTTACAGTCGCCAACAGTTAGTGAATTCATCAGTTCATGTAAAACTGGATATAAAATTCAGTTTTTTTAAAAAAATTTTGTTTTTTAAAACCTTACAGTACATTTTTCACAAATATATTTCCTAGTAGACCGTTACAGGAATTGCCATTCTATGCTTCTTTGATGTCGAAACAAATAGTACACACACACAGCACAGTACGTTGCAGAAACATTGACGACAAATGGATGACAATTTGACTGAACAAAGAAGCAAAAAAAAAAAAGAAAAAAAAAAGGAAGAAAAAAAAGAAGATCTAGTTAAATCTGCTTCGCTTGGCATCAACGACTAAGGAAAGCGGCGACTGAGGTGATGAAGTTTCGGCATTTTCATCACACAACGAATCTGTTGTATCCAACGATGCGCTCGTAATCTGTAATTGACCAAGTTTATGTAATTCTTAGTTTCAAGTGTTAAATTCTTTTCAGTGAACAATAATCTGTGAACAACAACTAATGTTCTTCTTTAAACAATCTTCTTTGAGCATGCTTATTTTTATTCCCAACGAGGAAAAAAAATCCAGTTTAAATATTATTTTAGCTTTAAACAGATCTAAAACATCTTTTGTTAACTGGTGAAAACTAGAAGAAATATTGAATACCGTAAGTGGTAGAGCACTAGTTTGAGCACGAAGTTTTGCAAAGCAATCTTGACATCGTGGCTCTTCAAAACTGTTGCTGATGATGAGGTATTCATAGTGTCGCTGCAAAAATAACTCAACACTTTATCAGTACAGTTAAAAAAGAAAAACATTTAACTTTATAGGGCGATTGATGCTTCTTTTTCTTCTCCAGAAATTTTGAATTATGCTTTTATACATATTTTTTTGATTTGTTTAAGTGTATAAGTATTACCTCACAAAATTTACAGTAATTTGTGTTTCCGATCAGTGGTGCATCCTCTTTTTTGATCAGTGAACCAGCAGATGGAGATGAAAATGGACTAGTGCTATTCGATGGACGACCCGTTGTAGTTTGAGCATCTGAGATGATTGTATTTTTCACTAAAATAACAAAAGAAAATATTATCTAAAACTAATTATATTTAAAAATTATTGATATTTAAGCAATTATCTCTTTTTTTTCATTAATCTTTTGTCATTATTATCTGTGTTATCACTTTCATAATTTTCGTCTGACAACTACAAGCTTAGCTGTATTACAGTGTGGATATGAACTGAAGTACTAAAGAAGGAGAAGCTAAGTTACAACTAAGTGTTACAGGGTAAAATTGCAGTTAATATAAAATGACTGACATTCAAGTCGTTTTTGCTGATTCAGACGAATTCGATTCAATTCTGACTCTCGTTTTCTTCTGTTTTGGTCAGCTAATAATGACGAATTTACGTTGCGATCAAAAGCACTTTTCTGTTCTTTTAACCTAAAACTCGAAATGTCATAAAAGTTATTTGTTGACAATATATTTTGTTTAGTAAACTAACTGTTCTGAAGATTTATGTGTTTAGGTGTGATTTCCAAAAGCAAAATAGAAAAAAAGAAAGTGAAAAAGGTAAAGTTTTAAGTTTAGGTCTATTTAACTGTATGAAAACTCTGCTCCTTTGCTTTCTCACAATGATTGACGTTCAGTTAATTTTTATTGAAACAAAAAATGAAAGATGACATTTTGGAAATTTACAATCAAATTTAAAACTCCTTCTTTTTTCGCTTTCACTCTTTAAACGACAAATTGAAGTATTCTTCAAATAATGCAAAAAAAAAAGTATTGAGGAAAAAAGAAGTCTTTACCCAGAAACATTTTGTTTCAGGTTGGAACGTTCAAATTCGACGTGTTCAGCCCATTCTTTTTCGTTGGTTAATTTTTCATTGCAAACGATACAAATTGGATTACCTTCTTCGTCAGTTTGAAGTTCTGCAACAAAAAAAAAAAAAAAGAATAATAACTGCTGCAATTATTCT